GCACAAGTGGGCAGGCAGCAGAGGGGAGTGCCAGCTCACACACAGCAGGTTACCAGCACCTGAAGGCTGCTCCCAAGTGTCCCAGATTCCTGGGGCACCAAGAAGGTCCTTGCTGCCAGTTCCCAGGCTCTCTACACTGACCCTGCTCAGAGGTAGCGAGTGGATCTGGGGATAAGAGCCTAAAGGTGCCATGGCCAGTCCCAAGTTCACAGGTTACAAAGCACTTCTCAACAAAGTCCTTTGACCCTCTGGAGATCCTCCTGCAAGGCAAACCCTGCATCTGTGCTTTGTATATAAAGAAAGTGAGGCTCTGATAGATCAAAAAGCTCCCAGGCTAGCTCAGTGGTGAGTGGAATGTCACCACGGCATAAGAGACCAGACACACAGCATCTTTATACAGCCATAAAAGGAAATTCCATAACATCCAGACTGCAGCAGGTCTCTGACAACACTATGTGCCACAAATCATGGACCTCTGTCACCAGAGGCAAGAGAAATTCCCCCTATAAACCTTGCATTCTGAAAAAGATGACTCCAAGGCCTGACTTGGAAGCTTCTCCATCTTGTTGGTAAATGGAGGACACACACACCCCAGGAGAGAGAACACTGGGACTCACTGGCTAAGTGACTACCTGTGTCTTCAAATACCACTATCTAGAGCAATGGTTCTCAACCTTCCGAATACTGTGACCCTTTAAATACAGTCCCTCATGTCATGGTGACCTCCAACCATAAAATTATTTCATTGCTATGCCATAACTGTAATTTTGCTACTGTTATGAATCATAATGTAAATATCTCATATGCAGGATATCTGATATGCATTCCCCCCAGGGGTCACAATCCACAGGTTGAAAACCACTGATCTATAAGTGAGGCTGAGAGTGAGCAGAAGCTCATCTAGTAATCCCCCAAACTAAAGGTCCATCAGCCTCAGTGGCAGAGTCTAGAAGCATCTGTAAAGCTGAACACCCATCCCCCCACCCCACCCCTACCCGCACAAAATGACATGTTACCCAGGGTAGAGAGTCAGCCTCGGTTTCGAGGAAGGGAGATAAACCTACAGGAAATTGGTGGGTGTCATTTCTAGAGACCTCTAAGAAGTGTTTGTGATGAATCCAGACCAAAACCCACTTAAAAGGCTGAGTCACATGGGAACCAGGAGGATGGTTCTGTGTGGATTAGGCTGGAGCATGGCCAGTAAACAGAGAGCAGGGACAAGCAGGCCCTCCTCCAGATGGAGAAAGATAAACAGGAGGGGCCCCAGGGACGAGGCTGCTGCTGCTTCTTCCTAAGTGACTTAGAACAAGGTAGGGGGAGGAGCTGAGAGGTGGCATGGGCTGCATGAGCTCTTGCTCTGCCCAAGCCCCCAGAACCAGCAGGCTCCTCTCTTACCCACTCCATCTCTTAGCACAAGCTCCAGGACCAAGACCTCTCCCTCCCCCAGGGTCCTACCAAGCCCTGAGTCACACCTGCTGCTGGCTCTGCTCCTCCAAGTTCATCTTCACCTCCAGCGACTGGCGGGCCTCCAGGAAGGCCTTGCGGTGCTTGCGGTCTGCCATGTAGTAGGACATGATGCCCACGACGATGGCACACAGGTAGAGGAAGACATTGGCCAGGATCTACATGCCAAGGAAGAGGAAAGAATAGAACTGGTGAATATTTATTTTCAGGGAAATGGGGACAAGAAGGTGGGGCTGTCAGGGATCAACATCAGAGGCCCCTGAGTGGATCCTACCCTATAAATCAGCAAGTTATGGCTCCAGGCCAGGAACGTGTGTACAGGCCACAAGACTTGACTGCAAGTTCACAAGGCCTCGTGAAAGATAGCCGTTTCCTCTCCTGCATCATACCACAATCACGGCCCTCTCCCAGAGGCCGAGCAACCCTTGGCTACTCAGTTGTTAAACTAGAATGTAAAGAGCCCCAGCTTACTAGGTTCTGTCAATCCCAGCCTACTTTCTGAAAGGCCTGTGCCAATGCAAATCCTTGGCTGTCAAGTGTCTGCTCTGTCTGGTACCCTGCAGACTCTCCTAGGTGACCTGGTCCCCAGTCATGCCTAAAAGGCTGCTGGATTTGCAGAGCCAATAGTTTCCTGCTGGAGGAAGCCTTGGGTATGGACCTGGATGTTCCCATCATACACGGCTCCTGGTGGTGTTAGCAGCTGCTGGCTCTGAGCTTTAGCTGGTTCCTGAAATGGTGGCCAGGTATTAAATTACTGTTGGTCTGCAAGTCCACCCGCCTGAGTGAGCCTTCTCAGGCAACACTGCTTCCTGGTGCAACTCAACCAGTTTCTCTAGAGCCAAAGCCAGACTTTTTTTTTTTAAAAAAGGTTTATTAATTTTTTCATGTTTATGTGTATGAGTGTTTTGCCTGCATATATGTCTAGGCACCACATGCGTGCTTGGTGCCCAAGGATGCCAGAAGAGGGCATCTGTTTCCCAGGAACTAGAGCTCCAGACAGTTGTGAGCTGCCATGTGGGTGCTGGGGATTGAACTTCAGTCCTCTTCAAGAGTAGTTCGTGTTCTTACCCAATGAGCTCTCTCTCCAGCCCCTCCCCACCCGATACACACAGCTTCTTCAAGCCATCCTTCCCTCCCTGCCTGAGTTCCTGAGGTCCCGCAGGAAAGCGGGGGACAATCATTACCATAGAGGTCATGTGGCTAGCCCTCACAAGATTGGAGTTGGAAAGCAGGGTGAAAAGAAAATTAGTAACTTCACTTCTGGCCATACAAGCAGAGAAGACTGGCCCAATGGTGTACATAGTGGAGTCAGGGGTTGGGAAAATTATGGGAAGTCAGCGCTGGGATTTTACATTAATGCTTCAGTAGATAAGGGGGTGAGTTTTGATTCATTTTCTGGGTTCTCCTGGTTATGCCACAAACCCTCTGAGCTGTGTTTTGTTTAATCAGGACTAATCACCAGCACCCTGAGGACACTGTGGCCACACCCTACAGAATGTTCCAGGGACAGGGGCACAGGCAGTTGGCAGTACTGAGCACATGGGGCGCTCCATCACAAGGCTGCTGAATAATGGGGACTTAGGTGGAATGTGTGTTAGAGCTAGACAGAAGTCACTGTAAGTAGATTCCTAAGCTCTTGGGTGCTGGTTCTACCATCTAAGATCTGTGTTACTCTTGGGCCTAGGCAGCCACAGCTGTCACTATCTGGTGTCAGTGCCTTTAGCAACATCTCTGTACTGTCTGCTTTCTTGACAGATGCCACCATCTAAGTGGCCAGGCTCCATAGGATATCAGTCTGACCATCTTAAATCCCTGGAGTTGGGTCCTGTGAATGAAGTCAATCATATGGACTCTGTTGGGTCTCAGAGTCAGTCTAACATGAAGGCCAAGAATCTCTACCCGTCCAAAGGCCATCCTCCTGCAGGGCCAAATGCCCTTGGCATCTTCCCACGTCCTCAGGCTCACAGAGCCACAAATTAGCAAGACTGGATGACAGGGTCAGGCTGGCATCCTATGCTTCATCTGTGTGCCAGGCTTGCAAGAAAGATGCTGCACGTGGCAATAGCATGCAACTGGAACTCATACAGCTAGGTCACCACTGGGAACCTCAGTGTCCCCAAACAGAGGGCTCAGGCAGGGAAGGACCTACAGCCGCAGGTCTGACTCTGGAGAAGGCATTCGTACACCTATCCCTGCTAACTAGCCTGGACTAGAGCTAAAGTTCAACTTTATCCTGTTCCCCCCAACATGGACAGGCCCTGCCTCCCTGTCTGCCCATCTCATAGGGACAGATGAGAAAGACGCGGTTACCCCTTGGGGTGGAGGCCCATGAAAACAAAACTACTGCCACCAACACTTTGACTCAAGGAATGTAGATGCAGGCTCGAGCTTGATGACACTCCTGCAGCTCAATGATCTGCATAGCCTCTCAAATAAAGGAATACACTAGGGACCAAACTCAGGACCACCATGACCTTAGGTCCCACCCTCACTAGCCAGGTAACCTGAGACCATTTGATCTGTCCCGAGCCCAGCCTTGATTGACACTGCCTGATCTTCATAAGCCTTGCTTCTGAAGGCAGAAGTTGGAACTGAGGGAGGTTTGGTCCATGACATCCAGGAAGGAGCAGAGAGCAGGAGAGGTGGGTGGTTTTCAGTTTGTCAGTCTCCAGCCCGTAGCACATTCACAGCTGCCTCGCCCTTTTCCAAAATCAGAATTTGAATCTCACTGACTCCAAAATTGCTCTCTGTAGGAAAGTGGGTTTGCAGGGCCCTGGGATGCCAGCAATCTCCACTCCCCGCACCCTGTGAATTCACCTATTTCTAAGGATTCTAGAGGCCAGGCTTTGAGTTTCTTAAACTCCAGGTCTCTTTACTTGCCTAAACCCAGCTGTTGTAGCCCATCCCTGTGCCCTCCCTTGCTATGCCTGCAGGGCCTGAAAGGAGCTTGGCAGCCTCTGCCCTAAGTGATGAGTGCTGGGAGGCTCAGCCAAGGTCTCACAGAAGCCAACTCAGCCCCCACGTCCAGGGCACGAGTCCAGCAGGCCAGCGCTGCCAAGCCAAGGAAACCTCAAATAATCCAGGGAAGCAGTAGCTGGCCTTAGGGGGAGGAAAGTTCAAGTGTGCACAGGTGGAGCCCTGAGGCTAGTGAAGACTTCCCGATATGCAACTATGTGGTCCCTCAGAGGACCCAGGCATTGCACTGAGTGCGCAGGCCAGGGCAGCAGGGCCTCAGCTTCCTTGTGTGTCAACAGTACATCTACTCCTAGATACAGGGACATCACCTCTCAGCCTACTCTCATTTCAGTCACTGCTGAGGTGACTGGGACATTGTTCTGGTTTTATAGGAAAAGTGCCATCCAAAGGAAATTCCAATTCCCCAAACTCCAAAAGGCAGTCCAAATCTCCAGAAATGAGCTTGAGCTAAACTATAGGATTTCTGGCAGTTAGATAAAAGCCAGCATTCCTCAGGAACTTGTGAAACCAGTTCCTATCTGCCAAAAAGAGTCATTTCCCTTACCTCTGGTGGAAGGGACATATGGCTACCTGTGGCAGCTCTCAGCTTATCAAAGCCCATGCCAGCCTCCAAGCCCCCTCAGTACCTCATAAATACACACATACAAGTACCTGCTATACATTCATAGTCCACACTAGCTAGCATCCTAGCCCTTCTCTTCTCTCCCCTGCCCTAAACTCTCCTTAGTTCATGGGCCTTCCTCCCCTCAGCTATTCCTTGTAGCCCAGCTATTCTCACTCTTCTGCCTCTTGCTATCTGCTCACTCACTATGACTGTGTATAAACATGTGTGTGCTCTATTCTCTGTCTCCTGCCCTCTCCTGCTGCTCTTCCACTTTCCTAGCCCTGGCCAAGTTCAGTCAGATTCTTTCTCTCTCTGCTTTCTCTTATATCTACAAATAAAAACCTTAACCTTATCCTGAAGCTGTCCTGTCAGCTGTTTCTTTACTGTGCCCCTTGCATACAGAAAGCAGCAAGACAAAGCAATGCCCCAAACCAAAACACACCATCTCCTCCCACATGCAAGGCTTCCTCCGGGTTTGAAACCCCACCCTGAAGCACTCAGCTTACTTACATGCAGAAACCCCATCTTTTCCCAGAAAGGATTCGAGACACATTTTAAACAAAAACTGTCACAGAGATAGTCAGTCCTAGAGCACTAGAGTGTGGGCTGTATCAGGTCCGAAGGAAACTCCAATTCCCCCAAATTCCAAAAGGCAGATGGCAGTCTTGGCTCAGCTCAAGATGGACTACAGGATGACTGCTAAAAGCCTACAGTCAGCACTCACAGAAGCCTGTGAAATGGATCTCTGCCTGCCAGAAAGGACTACTTCCCTTGGCATACACCTGTGGCTCATTCCGTCCCTATTCACAAGCACCTGTTATATATTCCAACGTCCATGGTCCTTCTCATCTCCCTCACTCCTCCCAGATACCCTTTTGTTCTCTCTATAACAGCAGGGCTCCCCCTACCCACCCCCACACTATTCTCTTTCTTCTTATTCTCTGCTATTCTGGCTTCTCTCACAGATTCTCCTGGCCATACCCACTCTTCTCTCTGCTTTGGACTCTTCCAGATGCCTCTGGATGTTCTCTCTCTTATCTACAATAACCCCACCCCTAACTGTGGAGTGCCCATCTTTGTAGTTTCTTTACTGTGCCCTTCCTAACAGGCTGCACACATTTAAGCCCAAACAAAACATGTCTGAAGATGTCCCAGTTTCCAAACACAGCAGCAGTCACTGTCTCCTCAGGTATGAAACATATCTACAATGTAAGAATGCCTTCTTAGAGAAGATGGACGTGTCCCTTAAGACATGCTTGGGGAAAAGGTAGCTTTCACTCTGACAGTGAGCCAGCACTAACTATGCTGGCCAGGAGGACAGGTGACTATTGTGTGTCCCTGTCTCCCAGGACCACTTCAGGTGGGGGAAGGCCAGGCAGGTGTGGCCCTGAGTGAGGACATGACAGTGAGTAATCAAGCCCTGCTCTAAACACCTCTATCAGCACTGCCTCTCATTACACTTAGAGAACTAGAGACGGGGGTGGAGTGCTGCCTTCAGGGAAAACTCGAACCCCAGTGGGGATCCAAAACGGACTGAGTCACTGTGACAAATGGCTTCCTCAAAATGAGGCCTT